TTCCATCATATGGATATACCACATTTTGTTTATCCATTCATCAGTTAATGGAATTTAGGTTGTTTACCCCTTTGGGCTATTATAAATAACGTTGCTATGAATATTATATACAAGTTCGCATGTGTGGGGCTATGTGTGTAGAGAGACACCTATTTTCATTACTCTTGTGTACCACATGATACCACATGCAAAAGAAAAAAGGGGTAGAATTGCTAGTAGTAAGTCTGTTTAAGATTGGAGAAACTGCTAAACTATTTTTCAAGGTGGCTGCACCATTTTACATTCTACCGGCAACACATGAGGGCTCCGGTTTCCCCACATCCTCACCAGCACTGGCTATTGTCTGTCTTTTTGATTCAAGTTATCCTGGTAGGTGTGAGGTAGTTCTTATTATGGTTGTGATTTGCATTTTCCTGATGATTAATGGTGTTGAGCATCTTTTCAGGTGCTTATTGGTCATTCACATATTTTCTCTGGAAAAGTGTTGATTTGTTCTTTTTTTAATAGCCAAAATATATTCCATGGTATAGACATACCACATTTTATTTATACATTCATGAGTCAATGGACACTTGGGTTATATTCACCTTTGGTTATTATGTATAATGTAAACATTCATATACAAGTTTTTGTGTAAACATATGTTTTCACTTCTTTTAGGTATAGTCCTAGGTGTGGAATAGCTGGACCATATAGTAACTCTATTTAATAATTTGAGAAACTTGGGGCGCCTGGGTGGTGCAGTCAGTTAAGCGTCCAACTCTTGGTTTCTGCTCAGGTCATGATCTCAGTGTCGTGAGACTGAGCCCCACATTGGGCTCCAATGCTCAGTATGGGGTCTACTTGAGAGTCTCTCTCCCTCGGCCCCTCCCACTCCTGCTCTCTCTCTAAAATAAGTCAATAAATCTTTAAATAAAGATAATTTGAGTAAATACTAGACTGTGTTCCAAAGCAGCTGCACCATTTTACACTCCCCCAAGCAGTGTATGAGGGTTCTGATTTCTCCACACCTCCACAACTCTTGTAATTATCTAACTTTTTGATTTTAGACATCACAGTAAGCGTGAAGTGGTAATGATTTGCATTTCCCTGATGAATAATGATGTCAAGCATCTTTTCATGTGCCTACTGATCATTTGTATATCTTCCTTGGAAAAATGTCTATTCAGGTCCTTCTCCATTTTTAAATTAGATTGTCTTTTTTTCTTGATTTATAAGAGCTCTTTATATATTGTGGATACAAGTCCCTTATCAGATATATGATTCCCATATATTTTATCCAATTCTGTGGGTTGTCTTTTACTTTTTAAAAAAGATTTTATTTATTTATTTGAGAGAGAGAGAGCTATAGAGAGAAAAAGAGCACAAGAAGGGTAGAGGGAGAGCCTCTTCAATCAGACCCACCCCTAAGTGTCAGGAGCCCAATGTGGGGCTTGATCCCATGACCCATGAGATCAAGACCTGAGCCAAAACTAAGAGTTGGATGCTCAACCGACTGAGCCACTCAGGTGCCCTGTCTTTTCACTTTCTTGAAGGTATCCTTTGAAGCACAAAAGTTTTAAAATTTGGTGACATCAGTTTATCTATTTCCCCTTTTTTGCTTATGCTTTTGTTGTCAAATCTAAAAATCATTTGCCAAGTCCAAGGTTATGTAAGTTTACCCCCGTCTTTTTCAATGTTTTACACTTTAAGCTCTTACATTTACATATTTGATCCATTTTAAGTTAACTTTTGTACATGGTGTAAGGGTCCAATTTCATTCTTTTGCATGTCGCTATTCAGTTGACCAACACCATTTGTTGAAAAGACTATTTTTTTCTCCATTGAACTGTCTTGCTGCCTCTCTTGAAAATTAATTGACTATAATTGTAATGGCTTATTTCTGGACTCTCAATTCTATTTAATTGCTCTATGTATCTAGCCTTATGCCTATACCACATTGTCTTGATTACTGCAGCAGGGTAGTAATTCTGATATTGGGAAATGTGAGTTCCCCAACTTTTTTTTTCAAGATTGTTTTAATATTCTGAGTTCCTCATATTTCCATATGGATTTTAAGATCAGCTAGTCAATTGTTGCAAAAAAAGTCACCTGGGATTTTGATAGGGATTGTGTTAAATTTGTACATTGCTTTGGGGAGTATTAACCATTTTAATAATATTAAGTCCTCTGGTCCATGAACATAAGATGTCTTTCACCTTATTTAGGTCTTCTTTAATTACTCTTAACAATGTTTTGTAGTTTTCATTGTATAAGTCTTGGACTTTTGTTAAGTTTATAAATATTTTATTCCTTTTGATGCTATTGCATATGGAACTGTATTGATCTTGTATCCTGTAATCTTGCTGGATTAGTAGTTCCAATTTTTTTTTAAGATTTTATTTATTTATTTGAGAGAGAGCGATAGCGAGAGAGAGCACTAGCGGGGGGTGGGGGTGTGCGGCAGAAGGGCAGAGGGAGAAGCAGGCTCCCCGCTGAGAAGGACTTCCCCCCCCCCAGGGGCTCGATCCCAGGACCCTGGGATAATGACCTGAGCTGAAGGCAGATGCTTAACTGACCGAGCCAGCCAGGTGCCCTGTTCCAATAATTTTTTGGTGAATTCCTTAAGATTTTCCACATACAAGATCATGTCATCTGTGAATGGCAACGGTTTTACTTATTGCTCTTTAATGTGGGTGCCCTTTGTCCCTTCTTGCCTAAAGGCCCTGGCTAGAACCTCCAGTACAATATTGAATAGAAGTGGCAAAAGCTGACATCTTTATCTTGTTTCTGGACCTTAGGAAGAAAGCATGCAGTCTTTTCCCATTAAATATGATGTTAACTGTAAAATTTTTTTTACAGATCCCTTTATCAGGTTGAGAAATTTCCCTTTAATTCTTATTTTTCTAGGGGTGACTGGGTGGCTCAGTCATTAAGCTTCTGCCTTCAGCTCAGGTCATGATCCCAGGGTCCTAGGATTGAGCCCCCAGAGGGGGGACAAAAAAAAAAATTCCTGCTCAGCGGGGAGCCTGCTTCTCCCTCTACCCCTCCCCATGCTTGTGTCTCTCTCTCGCTGTGTCTCTCTCTGTCAAATAAATAAATAAAATCTTAAAAAATATTCTTATTTCTCTAGTGTTTTTCAATTATGAAAGGGTGTTGGATTTTGTCAAATGCACTCTTGTGTGTCTTTTGAGATTATCATGTGTTTCTTTTTCTTTACTCTATTTTTATGGTGCATTACATTACCTGATATTTGGATGTTAAGCCAAACTTGCATACCTAGGATAAATCCTACCTGGTGATATTGAATCATGCCTTTTACATGCTGCTGGATCCAGTTTGCTAGTATTTTGTAGAAAATATTTGAATCTATACCCATAAGAGATATTGGTGTATAGTTTTCTTGTGATATCTTTGTCTGATTTTGGTATAATAGTGATCTCATCCAATGAGTTGGGACGTGTTCCCTCCTCTTCTGTTTTCTGGAAGAACTTTGCAGGATTGCTATTAATTAACCAGTGAGGCCATCTAGGCCTGGGCTTTTCTTTGTGAGAAGTTTCAAAATTACTAATTCAATCTCTTTGCTTGTGATTGTTTTATTCAGATTATTTATTCCTGAGTCAGTTTTGGTCATTTCTGTCTTTTTAGGAATTTGCCCATTTTACCCAAGTTATCTAATTTGTTGGTGTACAGCTGTTTATAGTATTCCCTTTGATTCGTTTTAATTTGTGTGAAGTGGGTACTGATGCTCCTTTATTTTTTTTAATTTTTAAAATTGTATTATGTTATGTTAATCACCATACATTACATCATTAGTTTTTGATGTAGTGTTCCATGATTCATTGTTTGCGTATAATACCCAGTGCTCCATTCAGTACGTGCCCTCTTTAATACCCATCACCAGGCTAACCCATCCCCCACACATCCCCCACCCCTCCCCTCTAGAACCCTCAGTTTGTTTCTCAGAGTGCATAGTCTCTCATGGTTCATCTCCCCCTCCGATATACCCCCTTCATTCTTCCCCTTCTGCTATCTTCTTTTTTTTTTTTTTAACATATAATGTATTATTTGTTTCAGAGGTACAGGTCTGTGATTCAACAGTCTTGCACACTTCACAGTGCTCACCATAGCACATACCCTCCCCAATGTCTATCACCCAGCCACCCCCTCCCTCCCACCCCCCACCACTCCAGCAACCCTCAGTTTGTTTCCTGAGATTAAGAATTCCTCATATCAGTGAGGTCATATGATACATGTCTTTCTCTGATTGACTTATGTCGCTCAGCATAATACCCTCCAGTTCCATCCACGTCGTTGCAAATGGCAAGATCTCATTCCTTTGGATGGCTGCATAATATTCCATTGTGTATATATACCACATCTTCTTTATCCATTTATCTGTCGATGGACATCTTGGCTCTTTCCACAGTTTGGCTATTGTGGACATTGCTGCTATAAACATTGGGGTGCACGTACCCCTTCGGATCCCTACATTTGTATCTTTGGGGTAAATACCCAGTAGTGCAATTACTGGGTCATAGGGTAGTTCTGTTTTCAACTGTTTGAGGAACCTCCATACTGTTTTCCAGAGTGGCTGCACCAGCTTGCATTACCACCAACAGTGTAGGAGCGTTCCTAATTTTAATAATTTGAGTTCTCTCACTCTTTTTTTTTTGGTCTGTTAAAGACTTGTCAGTTTTGTTGTAGATTATATATCCCTTTTGCAATTGAATTATTATCAGAAGACATAAGTGAGGGGTCATCTCTACCATGGGAGGTGACGGAACATTAATGTAAATCCAAGCTTCGGCTGCCCCATTCCTCCTAAATGCCGATATGGTTGACCTCAAGTTTTTTCCATAATGCTCTACCATCTCTGCCTGGAGTGGTGGTCAGGGGAAGCTGGGGGTTGGGGAGCACTCCAGGGAACTGGTGGCATGGCCATCATTTACCAGCAGTGGTCAGCCATAACCTGTGGGCACAGTTTATTTATGGCCGTTTGGTCTGATGTCATAACTCACCGATACTGTTTTTGCCGTGTGTCCAGCTCTTTACGTCTGTGCTGCTTGAGAATGTGAATTTGGTCATCGCAGGCCAACTTTGCTGTGGGGAAAGGACAGGATTGTGAGAAGAGCCACAAAGGTAACAACGTCCAGTATTTGGGTTCCCGTCCCACACCCTGCCCATGCACCGTCTTTACCTACCCGAGAACAGCCCCCTTCCCCCACCCCCATTCATACTGAGGACACTGGGGTCTAGGGAGGTTGAACAGCTTTGCATTTGAACTTTGCCCAATGTCACACACCTAATTAGTGGATTTTCAACACAAGATTCAAATCTTGTGTTCTGAGCCACTCCCATTATAAAAGACAAACGCAGTTCCCTCTCTTTCTGCCTGTTCACTCAGCAAGCTGGGGGCCCTCGGGGCGCCGAGAATCACATCCAGATACATGAGCCGGGCTTGGTTCTTGTTAGGCGTCATGGGGGCAGGCCAACGATTCTCTGACTCTCCAGCAGGCACAGGGCATAGAGCAAGTTGCCTTAGCTTCCTCACATGTAAAATGGAGATAATAATGCCTATTTTTAGGGTCATGATGGGGATTTAGTGAGTACTTCACACAGTGCTTGGCACCCAGTAAGCTGGAACAATAATTAATATTATTGTCCTTATAATCATGATGGACCTGTGCTGCTGCTTCTTCCCTCTTAGCCCAGATTCAAAGGTGTCTTGGTTCTCATTTCAGGAGTGGGGCAAGTGGCTTAAGGGCAGGGTCAAGCTGCTCAGGGCCTTTAGAGTAGGAGAGGCTAGTTCATGATTACCCTTTATACTATTATTTAAGGTAAAGCCTGTGAACACAGTTAGTGGGAGCACAGACTAGTAGGATTCCAGAGCATCTCCTGAAAAGGGGGCCTATAATAGTGCTTCTCCAGCTCTCTGTGGTTTTTAAAATTTCTATTCCATCACAGACTGATATTTTTGCAAAATACAATAAAAATTAACTACTGGAAAAATGAAATTAAAAAAAAAACCAAGGACATTCAAAACACAAGCCGTTTTTAGTATAAGAAGCAATAATCATAGAATAATTCTTGCAAGTTGCTATAAAAGCTTATAAATGTCTACTTTCAGACCAACACCCAACAGTTCTTAGCCCACACTCAGAGTCCCTTCTGGCTGAGGCAGCTCCAGCCCAGGGCTGGGAACTGGGGCCCAGAGAGGAGGATCAATGGAGTAACTTTTTGTTCTCCAGTGGGGATGGAAAGCCATCCAGTAAGGGCAGCCCGAGGCCACTGAAGGCAAGATGAGTATTAACTGTAACAGCTGTCACTGGCTGTATGAGTTACTGTTGTAGGCACCCGACATTCATCATCTCTAATCCACCTCAAAGAAACAGCCTCTTTCTCAGGCACCTGGTTCTGAGAAATTGGGTCTCTTCAGTTTCAGTGGTATGAATAAGTCAGAATATGTGGAACTGCACATACCAAGTGTCAAAAGACATAAGCTCCATTTCTCTTGGCCCTGAGGGTGTTGGACATTCCACCCTGGTGACTGATGGAACTTTTGGGAACACAGCAGGTGACCTCAGGTGACAAGACCTAGACTGAATGCCCCAGAGTTCAGGAGTAGGGGTTGATTCCAAAACACTGATATGAGTGCCTTACTGAAGCTGTCTTTTCACAGAGGTGCTCTGGATCCCGGGACAACAGTGACGGCCCTCTGACCATTATGTTCATGCCAGGTGCCATGGTGAAGTATTAGATGACAGGTTACCATGTCGCTTGTGGGCTGGGCCCCTTCATTTCCAGTTGTCCCAAGATTGGTTGTTGTGCTATGTGTTGGATTAAAGATGGCCATAAATTCTTTGACATTCTTTCCACTGAGAGGTGGGGTCTGTGTCCCCTCTGAGTCTGGATAGGCTCTGTGACTGCTTGGACCAATAGAATATAGTGGAAGGTACCCTCTGCCAGCTTCCAGGCTCAGGCAGGAGAGACAGGCAGCTTCCACCTTCTGTCTCTTGGAGTACTTGCTCTTGGCAGCCGACCACCACATAAGACCACCCTGTGACCGCCCAGTTGTGAGAAGCCCAACGCCATGGAAAAGGCTTCAAGAATGAGATTCCAGGTGGAAAGAGAGGCCAAGGAGCCCTGAGGCACTAGACATGTGAGAGAAGAACCATCTTAGAAGTGAGCCTTCCAGTCCTTCCCCCTCAGCCAATGCTTCATGGCTCACAGACGAACTGCCCCAGCTGAGCCTTTCCCAGATTTCTGACCCATAAGATCATGTGCAAAATTAAAAGCCTGTCTAAAACCACTCAGATTGATACACAGCAATCGACAAGTGGAACATACTGGATGGATAGTTTCTATGTGTCCCTCCAGATCTACCCTTCACCTTTTCCTGTCCCTAAAGGCCCTGATCTTATCTTTGATTGGAATGAATTCATCAATGGGCTTCACATTGGGTTCAGCCACTGGGAAGCCTGACCAGAGAGAGGAGGGCATGGGAGAATGAGGAGAGTGTTTCCCCAGGTTGTCTGCGTCTCTAGTGGGGGCCACAGCTACTCCCACGGGAGCTCTGTCTCGAGGACACTCCCCTTCTGGGATTAATCTGGCATTCTTTCCCTCCCCTCACCCCACCTGGACCAGCAGTGCTAATGGCCTGCACACTGGTGTGTTCCCCTGCACACTGACCTACACCTTCCTAAACATCCTCATTTGAATGTGCCATATGTTTTTTTGCTGGAAAGGGATTCAGGATCTGTGGGAAGGACTGTACGCAGGCGGGAGACTTGGAGCGAGTGTTTCTCCAGTACTAGAGAAAGAGAAGAACCCTGTCCACAACTGTTCACATTCTGGCCACTACAAGACAGAATGAATTTTGTGGTTGTTTTTTTTTTTTTTGGCATGAGGTCAGGAGACAAAAATCCTTCTAGCTCTAATCCTTCAGCTCAGAAATATTTTTGGAATTTGGTTTCTTAAATTCCATGTGAGAAACAATGGGATGTGGCCTGATAGTTTAAGAACACTAGGTAGAAAAGAATTTTTCCTCCTCTGTCTTGGTTTTCCTAGCTAAAAAATGGGGGTAGTAATCATTTCCATTTTACCTACCCCCTGAACTCTGTGAAGAATGAATGATCTAGTGATAGGAATGCACTGTCGACTAGGAAGTATTAAACATCTCACAGGTAAAACATCTGTCCTCCTCCTCATTATTCTAGTGGTACACAGCTTTGAAGACTTCTCATTCTGGGTTTAGAGTGTGAGCAAACTGAAGGGCCATGACTTGAACCAGACAGAATTTTGCCAAGGCATGGGCTTGACTCTCACATGTTAAGAGGCTAGTGCCCAAGGGGGAGTCTTTCAGGGGGACAGTGGCCTTAGCTGAGTTTTGCCATCCATTCCTCTGTTCCTCCACATCAGGCCAACTGCCTGTCTCTTATGAGGAATGCTCTCCCAAGGAAGTGCCAGATTGGGGTCTGCACATTTGAGGGTCTTGCTTAAGAGGGTAGATTTTAGGTTCTTTTCTCTTTTAGCAAAATGTAGGACTTCAGGTGTAACAATCGGTGACCATGACCGCCAGGTCTGGCCACAGCCCCTCTAGGCTGGGCCTTGGGCCACCCCTATCAAACTCTTCCCTTCCTAGGCCTATGTGGGGTGCCCTGGAGCCCAAGCCCCACTATGGCCCACAGAGAGGAGAACTGGAGAATTCACGTGGAGAATTGCCCATCTAAGGAGATGTCCCACAGGTATTTGCTATGAGGGACCCTCTGACAAAAAGGGAGTCATAAGCTTGCCTCTGAAGGACTGCAGCAGGGAGGGAAGACAGCTGAGCACGTGGCGGGGGGGCCTCCCACTCCACCCTCTGAGTGTGAGGCTTATTACTACCCTGAGGAAGGTCATACCACCTGCAGGTGCATCGAGGCACAGAGCAGCAGTGTTATTATTCCCATGAATACAGTTCTTGGAGGAAAGAGGGCCTGCAAGCCCCCTGGTTCCTGGGAAGCTCAGGGAGTGGAAGGGGCCTGAGCCACTCACCACGTCCGTCTCTCAGGACAATCTCGCCCTCACCGCTGATCCAGCGGTAGCAAGGGAACTCAATGTAATCTCCACAGGGCATCTTCAGCGTGATGTACTTCAGGTACCAATCGTCATGGAGCCAATACTTGCGCTTCTCGATTTTGACTAGCTGGATTTCGCCCAGTTCTTCATCCACTGTCACATCATAAGAATCAACCTGAGAGGAGAAAAAGGCAAATCAGGTTGTCTGGGGGTTTCCTGAGCCTTAGTATCACATCTTAGCTCATTTAGCCAAGATGTCTGCCGAAAGCCTGCCCTCGGCAAGGCTCTGTGCTGCACCTGGGAGGCAGAGATGGACAAATCCTGGCCTTTGCCTTAATGGAGATGGAGGTCTAGTGAGTAAGGGATGGATGGTGCTGCTCAGAGAGGGACATTCTGCTGTCTGCCCATGGTCAGGCTGGAGGAGGGGACACTCCAGCAGGGGTGCCCTCTGCTAGGCTGTGCTTGGTGAGGGTCCTCTTCAGCTGCCCCTGCTCACAATGAGGGCAGGGCAGCTGCTGGCCTTCCCACCCTGCAGGCTGGCGAGGGCAAACTAGACCTTGCATGCTGGGCAGCCCTTTACATCTTGCGAAGGGCTTGCTGACGATTGCTATAGACCCCCACAATGACGTGAGGATGAGGGGCAGTCATGACTGTGTCACAGATGAAGATATTGAAGCTTACTAAGTCCCACTTCAGCTATTCATTGATAGAGTTGGAATTCTAATCCAGACCTTTCTAGCACAGCCACTCCATGTCTCTCTTGTTCTCTGGGGAACAAATAACTGAGTGAAAATGGGGAGGCTCAAGTGCAAGTGAAGTTGCATAGACGCACATCATCCTAGGGCATCTGCTCTTCACTGAGCCACAGAGAGGTCAAGAAAATCACATAAGCAATACCAATGACATCTCTGGCACAGTGGTGGGTTGAGGCTGGTCTTGCTGCTAGAAGGTGCCACTGCAGGCCATGGGCAGCCTGCCCACCAGGTCCCTGGGACTGAGCGGCTCAGTGCTTCGTGCTGCCAGGCTCCTGACTCTAGGAGACAGGCAGGCATGATGGCAGTGCTGGGCAACCCTTCTGAGGCTTTGGGGTGACCTGTGTGTCTGCAACTCTTGATGGCAGAGGGAAAGGAAGGAAGAGAGCTCAAGTATTGCATTGGGTGTTCTATGCACCAGCAGGTCTGGGAAGCCCTGGACTCGGTGCTTCTCAATTTTGAGGGTCTTGCTTAAGAGGGTAGATTTTAGGTTCTTTTCTCTTTTAGCAAAATGTAGGACTTCAGGTGTAACAATCGGTGACCATGACCGCCAGGTCTGGCCACAGCCCCTCTAGGCTGGGCCTTGGGCCACCCCTATCAACCTCTTCCCTTCCCAGGCCTGTGTGGGGTGCCCTGGAGCCCAAGCCCCACTATGGCCCATGTTTCTCTTTTCTTTTCTGCTCCAATTTCTCCCTCTCACTCTGTCTTCCAGTCCCCCCCCCCCCCCAGTTCCCTCTTCTCTGCTCCACAACCTCCTGAGGTACTTTCTAAGCCAGATTTCACCAATCCTTGAGCTTTTTCCTTGGTGGCAGAACCTAGAGTTCTCAGCGTGATAGTGAAGTAAATGGAGGGGAGGGGTTTTCATCCTGCATATGACTCCATGCGTCTCTATCTCCATCCTTTTCCTACCAAGCTGCCAGAGGAACCTTAGCTAGAACTTATTAAGAGGAATAGGAAGTTGGTATTTTTAGCAAACCTCTTGGCTCTGAGCACAGTGAGCAGCTCACATGTTGTGGTTACTGAAGATGCCAAACACTTGTGGTCAGAAAGTGGAAGTCTCCTCCCTGTGCCCTGTGGTCTGGGCCTGGGTTCTTGTTAGAGCATTTCTGAGGACCAAGGAGCCAGGCCCCTGGGATGACACTTTTTGGTCCCTAACAGGTACACAAACACATCTGTGCTACCAGAATGCACCCTCCTGCAGAGTGAAAGAACCCTTTTACTCCACAGTGTGTCCTGTGAGAACAGAAACCATAGGTGAGGTCACAGAGAGCACTGACCCCAGGCCTGTGGGACCTCAGCTGGGGAGCCTATCTGTACTGCAGGGTGCTGATCCCTTGGGAAGAAGCCAGGAAGCCCCAGGGTGCAGGGTTGGAGAGGAGTCCCAGTGAGGGGACGGATGACCCGAGGAGCTGGGAGGAGAAGAGGAAAGGAAGGACACAATTTTTGTGGGGTGACTTCTGGGTGTGGGAGAGAATGGAGACCCCCGAGCTGAGGCATCAGTAGGCCAGGTGGTAAGATTTCAGAGGTGAGATAAATGGGGAGGGGAAGGAATGGGCAAGGCATTTAGCTGTGGAGAACTGAGAGAGCAAGACCCCTTAGGCAGGGAATGCATATATAGAAGGAAGTGGTTAGAGCCTGGAGCTCCTTGGGTCAGAGGTGGTAGGTGCAATGGTCAGATGCTAGAGAGAGACACGCAGGCAGGGAAACATGCAATTCCCCAGCCTCATCTCACAAAAGGGCCAGTTTTTTTTATTTCACTTATTGCTTTCAACTCTTTATTGGGTATATAGTTTTAAGACTTTTGAATATTTCATCATTGTGTTAGCTGGGCACTTTTCATTTGATCTTTATATGAGCATTTTTAGAAAGGTCTCATTTGTTTCTGTTCCAGATCCCTGTTGTTGCTGTGACAGGGAGAGGGATCTCTCTGCTGGAGCATGGAGAGAAGAGAGTTCTGAGGCCCAACTGGCGATACTCGTCTTGGCGGAAGCTAATGAGGGGCTAGGCAGGGAGAGGAGGAGGTTGTGGAGCAGAGAAGAGGGAACTGGGGGGGACTGGAAAACAGAGTGAGAGGGAGAAATTGGAGCAGAAAAGAGGAGAGAAATGGGGGACATTGGGGTAGGGCAGGGACTAGGAAGTAGAGGAAGGAAGAAAATGAGGAACAGGAAGCAGAATCTAGGGAAGAGAGGACAGAGAGGGAAGACATATTTATTCTTCATCAATATATTCTTATTACTGAGAAGGAGGTATTCTAGAGTGTTCCCTTCATATGGAGATTAATAAGGTTAACATTGCCTGAATATATGCAAAGTATATACAGTTGTAAGACTGGTCTACACTCACTGAATACATCCAGGGACAATATATTAAACACTTCTGTGTTGTCCCTAGCTTTCCTAAGAGTGGTCTTGGAATGAAAATGAAATGGCTCAAGTGAGATTTCCCAGAGATCTTCGGATCTATAAAAGTCTTCCTATCTGACTTGACCTGCTTTCAGCTGACAGAAGTAAGGAAACAAATCAATTTGCCAAATTTGCCCAGCCTCGGGCCAGTCTCTGGGCTGTTTCCTAAGCAGGCAGTGGTGAGCCCCTGAGGGTGTGGCCATGTACAGGAGAATCTCACCTTCAGAGGACTTCAGTTCCCAGTCCTCACCTGAATCAGTGTGTGGAACTCTGATGAGAATAACTGGGGATCTGTAACTCAATTTGTGGAGAAGAAATCAGTCCTACCGTTTGACTGAATTCTGCACAGAGGTATGTGGGTGTTGATCTGCCAAAGACCTGGAAATGACTGAACTAGCTGCCTGGTGACAGCTTTTATTGCTGTGACTGTGGCTGCTAACCATAATGATTAGAAAACTTTTCCAAATAAAATGGCCAATTCTTCTAGAGCAAGTATTTTCTCTAAGGCTTCTTTTTCACCTTTACCCAACAGGGACAGACTGTCCTTAAAGAGCCACTGGCTGGAGAATGAGGAAGTAGCTCTGGGCTGTGCAAGACAGAGTGTGGAGTAACTTTGCACCAACAGGAACTTTCTTAAAAGTGGATTTTTTTTCAGAGCCTTTAGGAACCAGCTGATTCCCCTGCAGCCCAGCAGCCCTTCTGACTTGTTCTCTCTCACCCCAGTGGAAATGTGACATGCAAACCTCTCCTGAAATTTGCTTCTGGAACTCTCACCGAGGTGTTTAGTCATAGCGTCATTTGAATGAATTCTCAAGGTGGGGAAATAATGAACAGAACAGTTCCAATGACCCTGTTATGGTCACATGACAGTGTCTCCTTCGGGTAGAGGCCACATGTGGGGTGCCCTGTGCTGCACAGCATGAGCACACTGTGTGTGTGTAGAGGAGGATGGGGCCCACTGCGGCCTGCTTATTAAGGGGAAGTAGTCTGTACCCAGTCCTCCTCCCTGAGATGCTGGGGGAACCATGAAAGAATGGAAATAAATGAAGGTGCTTCAGAAATGGCAGAAGGTGTCATCTTCCCAAGTGGATGTCTCATTGGCCCTCCCTCCTGCACCACTGTCCTCAGGGCCAGTTCCCTATGGGGGAAAACCAAACAACAGATGGTTGTTTTTATACTCAACACCTCACTCTTCTTGAAGGGAGCTTGAGCCAGGCTAACTTCTGAACTTGGCTAAGTGCCAAGTCGGCTAATAACAAGGTTTTGAAGCTCCTGGGGAGGAATCAAGCCCATTTTTGAGTTTGGAAGTGGGAAAAGGAGTTGACTATTACTTACTGCAGCCTCTACAGACCTAAAACCTAATTCATGAATTTTATCCAAGAAGTATTCAGTTGAACCATATGAAATTCCCAGTTTTATCAAAAATTGTTAACTATAAGCAATTTCATATGGTTCAACCTAATAATCAACTAAATAGTGAAAAGAAAAAAGACCGCTTTGTGAAGTCTAAATCTTTTTGGTCCAGTTCAGGAGCTGGGGGGTGATGGAAAGGAACATTCCCTGGGCACCTACCTGAAGTGTGTTGGTTCTGTCACAATAATTATACAATGAGCACTTCCTATGCACTTGGCAGTGGACTGGGCAAGTCACTAAATGCTCTGTGAGGACCATGACCTGCCATGCTCACCGAGAAAACCACAGGGCTGGAATTCATGCCCAGGTCAGCATCAGGAGCTCACTTCTAAATGGGGCCACCTGTGCATGTCCTTACATAGTACTTGGCAGCATAGACTAGAAGTACAGTAAACACTGGCTCCCCTTGCTCCCTGGACTCCCACAGCTCCAGGGTATCTAGTGAGAAGGGGAGAGGAGAAGCCCTCCTTCCTCTTCTTGCTCCGAGCCCTCACACCTGGGGTGGAAGTGTTCCCCGGTGTATACTCCACTGGGAGTCAGTCTCCAGGTTGCAAAAGGCTTCCTGCTTGAGCTCTCTTGTTCTTTCCCTCTAAATTCCTCTGGGGACCTGTCCTGAGAATGTGAGCTACCCAGGTGTGAAGACATCTGCTAGTATCACTCTGGGCCAGCAGCTGGGCTTGCGCTCACCCAGATTCCTGGACCAGCCTGAAATTACCCCTTCCGTTTTACATTTGGGGAACTGAGGTCCAGTGAGGAGACAGAGTGAGCCAGCAGTCAGGCCCTGATTCAACCCAGGTCTCTGAACTCCCACACCTGTGGTTTCTCCCCACAGCTCAAGGCTGCTCGAGGTGCCATCTGTGCTTCACAGCAGGGCAAGGACCCGCACAACCCCCCACTCCCACCCCCACGACTTGTGGAAGGAGCCCTACGAAATGGCGCACAAGCAGCGCTGCCCACAGTACTTGTCCAGTTAAGGGACCTTTCAGAGCCTCGGGGTCCCTATCTGTGAAATGGAGAGCGGACCTTGTACCTTCTCCTGCTCCCAGGAGAGAAGCGCGGCGCCCTGCCGGCCTCACCCTGGAAGCCTCCCGCCCCCGAACCTGGGTCCCAGCCTCCCCGACCGGGTCCTGGGCGTCCCCCGCCTCGGTCTCGGCCGCCCCGACGGGGCCCCGTGTGATCCCAGCCCTGTCCCAGCCGCGCGCCCTCACCGCGCCGCGCTCAAAGTCGTTGTAGAAGGGCTTGTCCAGCAGGTGCTTCTCGCTGCAGCCCGCAGAGCCCACGAGGCTGAGGTAGATGTAGTCGTCGGTGCCAGCGAACCACTGGCTGCCGGTGGCCACTGTGACCGTGTAGGAGGGCATGGCGGAAGGCTGCGAGCTCCAGGAGCCTCCACGCTGCGGTTCCGTGCACCTCGGCACCTGGCCCGGACCCGCGCAGCTGCCTCTTCCCCCGCCGGCCCCGCCCCCCGCCCGCTCCGGCCCCGCCCCGGCCCCGGCCCCGGCCCCCGCCCGGCGGGACCCGACCGGACCGGACCCCACAAGCCCGCCCGCGCCCCGCACCGCCCATGACGCTCCGACGGCTCGGGACCCGCGTCGGACACTGTAGGGGTCGCGCCTTCCTGCTTCTCACTCCATTGGCTTGGTGTCTGTTTTAGCCGTCTGGGGACTGGGGCTGCCTCAGCTGCCATCCCCTCACCCATGCATCCGTTCCTTCACTCAGTCCCCCATTCATTGTTCTCACCCTTCACCCTTCCTTCGGCCTCAGGCCAGGCTCCCGGAAGGCGCTAGGGTTGGGCTCTGGCGACCCCCGGAAAATGAGGCGTAGTCTCTACTCTCACCACGTTCCCAGTGTGACTGGGGCGATTACCGATGGCGTGGTTGCTTAGACCAGGGGTGCTCTGGGAGTTTACAGGGACATGGGGGCTCACCTGGGGATTCCAGGGAGGCTTCTTGGAGGAGGCTGCACCGGAGCTGATACTGAGAGTGGTTTCTGGGACGCAGGGACTTCAGTCAGCTCTGGCTTCCACAGGTTTGGCTGAATGTCACTGTGGGCAAGCTGCAAGTGGGCACCGAGGTGAGTCAGATGCCAGCCGCTCTCAGGACAAGAGATTGTCCGTCTACGGCGGGAAGCGGGGCCGCCAGAGGGGGGCCAGGACAAGAAACACCAATCTGAACTAGGTGTTTTCTGGAGGACATCAGCGGGCTTGAGGTGGCGGGAGGCTGGGTTATGTGGGGAAGGAGTTAGGCTTGCTTAGTGATGGCTCTTGGAGGGGGCGGAGGGAGTCCTGGGAAAGAAGAGGTGGACTCCACAGGAAGAATTTTCCAGGAGTTAGGGCCGGCACCTGGGGAGCCGGCTGCCTGGCGGGAGTAATTGGTAGGCTTTCTAACAGGTAGTGGGCTGAGGCCTGAAAGTGATGTTAATAGACGGAAGCTTCCCTTGGGTGGTCGGCTTTCCTACTGCTGTGACCCGATCTTGTAAGTCTTCTGTATTCGCCTGCACCTCCTCCACATTTCATTCCCACTTTCCTGGCTCGCAGCCCCCCACCCTCACCCCAACTTCAGAGCTGGGTTTGACTGTGGTACACATTCAGTAATGAGCTGAACTAAATTAACATATAAGTTCATTCCATGTCAGTTGGTGGGTGCGTCAAGTCCCTGGCTTTGTACACTTACTGTTGGGGAGGTGCAAAGAGGCAGGCCTGAGACAGGCTCCCCATGTCTGGGAAGCGGGTCTCCACCTGGTGGCAAATCCTGCTTTCTTTTCTGCCTGGCAGGACCACCACTCTGAGCAGAGAGAGGGGACCTGCTAGTCCACTTTCTACAGGTGGAAGATGAGGGCGGATTTCAGTGGGACTGGCTTTATTCATGGGAAGACAGGCACTGAAGGGATTCTCTGGGAATCAAATAAGACATGGAGGAATGGGCACAGCTGAGATGCACAGGTGAAGATAGACTAGAATTGGGACCCAACCCCTGCCAGGCAAGAGACAGGCTCCAGGAAACCCTGGGGCGGGGGGGAGTATGAAGGATGGCTGTGGAGCTGCACTTCACATCTAAGAATGAAATGGCTATTGTTTTTCTTTAAAAAGTACATACAATATATTTTTCTGGACAAAAGTAATAAATTGTCATTGCAGAAATTAGAAAAGTTGGATATAGAAACACAATTCATAACGTGTAGAAAAAGTAGTTAGTAAATTTTCATTATTAGACATTTTTACACCATTAGGACCACATCTTTGTGTGTAATTTGTCATATGTGCATTTTCCTTAATATTATAAGATGTATTTTCCTACATAATTTTACTTTTTAAATTTTTGATGACTGCATAATATTCAGTTGTATGGATATACCACTATTTCATTAGTCCACTATTATTGGGCATGTAGGTTGCTTTCCCTCATTAATTGCTATAGTACATATTTGGTGCTTAAAACATTTTAAAAAGTTTTTCTTAAGCTAGGGATTTAGAAATGGACCAAAGCATATGAATATTCTGAGACCTTTGTAACATGTTATTAAGCTACTTTCCCAAGGACTATAATAATTTATACTCATGCCATTTACTGTCATGCACAACATGGAATGTTGGTTTCATAGAAACTTTGCCATCGTGGGGTAGTTTCTAAAATATCCCTACATCTTGTCCTCACTGTCTCTGATCTGGTTCAGGCTTTCAGCGTCTCCTATACAGACTGTAACAACAGTTTCCTACCTCATCTCTCTATCTTTAGCCTAACTGCCCCCCCCCCCCGCCCAATTCTCTAACCGGAGTATTTGCCCTATAGCATAGATGGGATAATCTCACTGCCTTACAGTCCATCATTGCCTGCCTGCCTGCCTGCCTGCCTGCCTGCCTTCCTTCCAGCTTTATTGAGATGTAGTTAGTATACGGTACAATTCACTCATTTAAAGTGTACCATTTAATGGTGTTTAGTAATATTCAGAGAATTGTGAGACCATCCCTACAATCAGTTTTAGAACATTTCTGCCGCCCCGTTAGCAGTCACCTCACATTACCCCCCTCATCTTTTCAACCAGGGCAAACACTAATTTACTTTCTGTCTATAGATTTGCCTATTCTGCACATTCATAGGAAAGGACTCATACAATGAGTGACCTTTTGTGACTGGCCTCTTTCACTTAACCATAATATTTTCAAGAGTCATGCATATGGCAGCATGCATCAGTCCTTTATTCTTTTTTGTGGTTAAATAATATTCCGTTTTATGGATATGCCACATTCTGTTTATCCATTCATCAGATGATGGAAATTTGAGTTGTTTCCACTTTGGGGCTATTGTGAAGAATAGTGCTATGAATATTCATGTATAAATTTGTGTGTAGACATGTTTTCATTTCTTTTAGAGAGATAACTAGAAGTGAAATTGGTGGATCATATGGTAACGTAATTTTGAGGACATGCAGATTGTTTTCTAAAGTGGCTGCACCATTTTACATTTTTGTAAGCAATCTATTAGGTTCCATTTTCTCCACATCCTCTTGAACACATTATATTCTCTGTGAAGTGGTATCTTATTGTGATTTTGATTTGGATTTCCTTCATGGCTAATGGTGTTGAGCAACACTTGTTGCCTAGTTGTATATATCCTTTAAAGAAATGTATATTCAGATCTTGACCCATTTATTAAGTTAGCTTATTTACTTATTTTATTATTGAGTTGTAAGTGTTCCTACATCCTGGATAGGATATAACTATATTTATATGTGTTTTGTTGCTTCTGTGGATTGCCTTTTCACTTTTTTGATGGTTCTATTTGAAGCAGAAAACTTTTAATTTTGAGTAAACCCAATTTTATATATTTTCTTTTGTTGTTGAGATTTTAGTACCACATCTAGGAGACTGTTGCCTATACTAAGTTCATGGAAATTTACTCCTATGTTTTCTTCATAGAATTTTATACTTAAGGTTCTTCATTTAGACCTATGATCCATTTTGCCAATTTTTGTGTGTGGTGTGATATAGGGATTCAGATTAATTCTTTTGCATGTGAATATCCAGTTGTTATGGCATCACTCATTGAGAACATGAGTCTCCATTGAATTGTCTTTGTACCTTAGTAAAAAAAATTAATTCACCATAAGTGTAGGGATTTATTTCTGGACTTTCAGTTTTGTACCATTGACCAGTATGTGTATCCTATGTCAGTGCCACACTGTCTTGATTACTATAACTTTACAGTAAGTTTTGAAATTGGGAAGTGTGAATTCACCCTTGCTCTTTATTTTTCAAGAACATTTTGGCTATATTGTGTCCTTTGCATCTTCTTACAAATTATAGAATCAACTTCGCAATTTCCTCAAAAAAGAAAGAAAAGCAAGGTGGGATTTTGATAGGGATCACATTGAAGCTGTAGGTCAATTTGGGAAGTATTACTATCTTAAGTCTTCTGAACCAGGAACATGGGATATATTTCAGTTTATTTAAATCTTTTCTAATTTATTTCAATAATGTTTTATAGTTTTCAATGCATTTTTTGTTATTAAATTTATTCCTCAATATTTTACTTTTTTTTAAGAAAAGCTATTTATTTTTGTCCCTCTCTCTCCCCAGCTTTATTAGGGTATAATTGACAAATAAGAATTGTGTATACTTAAGGTATGCAATATAAGGTTTTGATATATAGATACATTGTGACATTATTACCACAATCAAACCATTAAGACCTCCATCACCTCACATAGTTTCCTTTTTTTTTTCTTTTTTTTTTTGGTGTGGTGAGAACACTTAAGATCTATTAGCAAATTTCAAGTATACAGTACAGTGTCATGGACTATAATCACCATGCTGTACAATAGATATCCAGAATTTATTTATCTTATAACTGGAAGTTTGTACACTTTGACCAACATCTCTGCACCCCTGACCCTGGTGACCAGTGCTCTACTCTCTGGTTCTGAGTTTGACTTTTTTACATTCTACATGTAAGTGAGATCATACAGTATCTGCTTTCTGTGTCTGGCTTATTTCACTTAGCATGATGTCTTCCAGGGTCATCCATGTTGTTACATATGGCAAGATTTCCTTTTTTTCAGGATGAATAGTATTCCATTATATATACACACACATTTTCTTTGTACATCAATGGGCACTTAGGTTGTTTCCATATCTTAGCCCTTGTGAATAGTGCTGCAATAGACATGCGAGTGCAGATATCCCTTTTTTTTTAAAGATTTTATTTATTTATTATTTAATTTATTTATTTGACAGAGAGAGACACAGCGAGAGAGGGAACACAAGCAGGGGGAGTGGGAGAGGGAGAAGCAGGCTTCCTGCTGAGCAGGGAGCCCGATGTGGGGCTCAATCCCAGGACCCTGGGATCATGACCTGAGTTGAAGGCAGACGCTTAACGACTGAGCCACCCAGGCGCCCCTGCAGATCTCTTTGAGACCCTGATTTCATTTCTTTTGGATCT